TGCTGAATCTCCTGGGAGCCCCTTTGCCAATGCTGGTTCCCCCCTTGCCAGGAACACTGGCGCCAGCCCGAAATTGAGCAACATTTCTCCAAGGTGCAGGATGCTGTGCAGGTGCTGAGGGCTCTCCGAGCCACCTACCAGCTCACCAAAGCCCGGCCTCGAGGTGAGGTGGCTCCTGAATACCTGGGTGTCTGCAGGAAGAAGGGATTGATGGGGGAAGAGAACAGCCTGGAGGTCAGACCCCAGGGTCTGGATGTACAGGATGGAAAGTGAGACAGGAGCAGCTGATGTTGGAGCCGTGTCATTCTCTCCTTCTCCAGTGCTGCTGCAGAGCTCGGAGCCAGGGGAGCAGGGTCTCTTCCAGGCCTTCCTGGAGCCCCTGGGCACCCTGGGCCATTGTGGGGCTGTTGGTCTCCTACCACCAGATGCAGCGGCTCCCTCTGGCTGGGCCCAGGCCCCACTCAGTGACACCATCCAGGTCTACATGGAGCTTCAGGTGACCAGAGGGGCCTGGAGGGATTGAGAAGAATGCTGGGTGGAAGGGAACAACTGAGGAAGAGGTGGAGAAGGTGGAGGCCTGGGCAAGCTGCAGATGTCTCAGCCTTTTTTCCCTGTTCTTCCCCAGGGCCTGGTGGACCCCCAGACCCAGTTACCTCTGCTAGCTGCCCGAAGGCACAAGTTGCAAAAGCAGTTTGATGGCCTCATGGCCCGGACCCCATCAGAAGGGGAGGCAGAGACCCGGAGGCAGCGAAGGGTGAGGCTTGGGGTGGCCACCCTGGAAACCTGAGTTCTGGAGGGAGCTTGGGCTGGGAGGATGAACTGTATCCTCACCTTCTCCTCTTACAGCTTTCCTCCCTCCGCCTGGAATTGTCAAAACTGGACCAGGCAGCCTCTCACCTCCAGCAGCTGATGAATGAGTCTCCTAGCCCCAGGAGCTGTGAGCTCTAACTCACCAGCCCTTCAGTCCTTCTTCCTAGACATGTATCTGGGGACAGCAGATCTGTCAGTGGTTAGGGTCTGATGGGAACTCAGACTAGTGGTCCACCTTTCTCATTTTGTAAACGAGGAAGCAGACTGGCCTGGTCACCATGACTGGTATCTCAAGATGCACGGGTTACCCCCTGACCTTACACTTGCTCAGGGTTATCCAGGACATTTGGGAATGAGGAATTCAGATAAACTTTTAAAATCTCAAGAGTTAGATAGCAGTGGCACATACCTGTAATCCCAGTTACTGGGGAGGCTGAGGTAGGAGGATTGCAAGTTCATGGCCAGCCTGGGCATCTTAGTAAGATCCTGTCACAAAATAAAAAATAATAATAATAGGAGCTATAGATGTAGCTCAGTGATGGAGTGCCCCTGGGTTCAGTCCCTAGTACTGAAACAAACAAACAAATAAATAAATAAAATCCCAAACACATTTGCCTGTGGTCCTTTTTTCCTCTTTCCCTTAATGGTGACTTTCTTGCCTGTCCATTATTCCTTGACAGCCTGGTCTGGAGATGAAGGCTACCTGTAAATGATACTTATTTAGGTCTTTTGACTGCATGGGAGTATGGGTGCTGGGTGGCACCTGTCTTGCTGAGGGAAGCTTTCCAGTGGTGGGGCAGGGCACAGGCTCAATGACCATGGCCCAACCCACTGGCAGTGTCCTGGCTGCTTCAGGGACTTCCTTCAGCCTGCAGGGCTGTAGGGTGCATTGGGAGTTATGTGCCTTCTACCTTTTGTGCAACTGAGACCTGAGCACCACAGTCACAGTGCTCAAACCCTGACTGAGTTATGTGCAGATACACAACTAGCCACCCTTCCCACCCCAAACACCCTTGTCTCATATCAGCGGAATTAGAAGTACTAGCCCTTCTGCACCCAAATTCCATTCTATTCAGCAGCTCTAAGTTGCTATTTGTGGCAAGTTGATCATGGGCTGGGTCCTTCATGGTGCTCCAGGTATAATACCATTTAATCCTACCAAGCACCTCATGAAGTGGGCGTTAGCTTCATTCTGGAGATAAAGAAACGTACTCAGACTGAAAGTAACTTATCCAAGGTATCAATGGGGATTTAACCCAATTTATTTAACCTTATAACTTGCAGGTCCTTTCTGGATGCTGGAATCAAACCTCCTAATGGGGATTTAGATAAGATGGATGTTTCTCTTTCTGGGCATAAGTAGAAGAGAGTTTTGCAATAATGGGAGTCCATGTCCATTTTAATCCTATTTTCCTACCATTCTGATATGCTTTCTGTGTCCAAGATCTGCTCCAGCTCCTACCACCATGTCTGTGTCCCTCCCTGGAGGGAAGAGAGAAAGAAGGGGTGAGCAGTCCCCTATTTCTTTTCCCCAGGTTTGACAAGTTTTTCTTGATGCCTACTATGTGCTGGTACCTATCAGAAATAAGTAACATGGGTCAATAAGTAAATGATACAGCATTTTTTGAAAGTTATAATGTTAATAGGGGAAGAAAGGGTAGAATAGGGTAAAGGGACTTGAATGTGTTGTGTAGAAGGCAACTCTGTAATATTAAATAGGGGAGCAGGGTTGATCTTATGAAAGCGAAGTTTGAGCAAAGACTTGTGGCAGGTGTGGGAATTAGCCAAGTGAATGTCTCAGGTAAAATGTTCTAGATGATGTGAAAAGCCAGAGCTTGTGTGGACATGCCCATGGTGCTCAGAGTAGCAAGGAGGCCAGTGTGTGGGGCACAGCCAGCTCAGGGAGGCTCAGGGAGGTGAAGTCACCAGCTGAGGGAGGCAGTGAGGAATAGGGAAGGCTCAGGATCTTTCAAGGCTGTAATGTCCAAAATGGTTGACTATTTAATACAATTGAAATGAAATAAAATGAGACATTCAGTTCCTTAGTCACACTAGTCACATTTCAGTTGTTTAATATCCATAGGTGGCCAGTGGCTACTACATGGTCAGCATAGTTATAAAACATTTCCATCACCGCAGAAAGTTCTTTGTAGATGAGTGTGGTGGTGCATGCCTGTAATCCCAGTGGCTCAGGAGGCTGATGCAGGAGGATCACAAGTTCAAAGCCAGCCTCAGCAATCGTGAGGCACTAAGCAACTCAAGTGAGACCCTGTCTCTAAATAAAATACAAAATAGGGCTGGGGATGTGGCTCAGTGGTTGAGTGCCCCTGAGTTCAATTCCTGGTACACCCTCCTCCAAAAAAAATTCTGTTGGAAAAAACATTGTATTGTAGGTAGTTTTAAAACCTGAGTTTTTTTCTCTCTGAAGTGGAAGCCCTTTTCTTTCAACTTATTACACACTTCCTTTCTATTTGCATCCTCTTGGACAAACCTAACCACATGGCCATATCTATTGGCAAGGGAAGCTGGGAAATGTAACATAATGAGCTATGTGCCCGAACTAAGATGTATGTGAACGTCCAAAATGGAGAATGACTATTAGGGGGATGGCTAGCCATCTCTGCCACCCCCAGTTCCAGTGAAATCCAAAGCATTCTCTTCATTGTACTGCTCTGTTTCCAATCTAGGAAGATAATTCTTGAAGAAAATAATCTGGAAACCATGCCCTGGTGATTCCAGGCCCTGAGATCTAGGAACCTGGTTGCTATCTGTTTCTCCAAGAGAGGGATTCAGACATGCAGTCCCCAAACTTGCCTGGGGATGTGCACATCTGGACCATGGGGGTCACCTGCTCACTAGTTCAGACTAGGGGCAAGTCATGAAACACTGGTTTCCTTTGGGACCCCCTGGCTACCTCTTTTCAGGGCTAACTGTCTCAGGACAGTTGAAAAGGACAGTAGAGGAACTTGTTTTTGGTTTCTTCTTCCATTTCTACGCTTCATCATATTCAGGTATGTTCACTATTCAACTCTTGTCTTCCCCATCACCTTCTAGGGAAGCCAGACTCTCCTTTCATATGGTGGTGATGGTGGCTGGGTGGAGATGGTGGGCAGAGGCAGGTACTGGGGAAGAGAGGAAGCAATCATAACACCCATAAGGAGTCAGTTTTGGGCTTCAAACTTGTGTCTTGAGAGGTGGTAAGAAACCCAGTTGAGCGACCAGTGAGCTACATCCCCAGCCCTTTTTATTTTTTGTTTTGAGAGATGGTCTTGCTAAATTGCTGAGACTGGCCTTCAACATGAGATCTTCCTGCCTCAGCCTCCTGAGTAGCTGACATTACTGGTGTGTAACGTTGCTCTAGGCAAAACCCAAATCATTTTGAGAGGACTTATATGAATGCCTGTATCAAGAAAATAGAATGTAAAGGACTCTGAACTCTTGAAGTGACTAGGTATTTCTAGCATAAAAACAGTACTTTCTGACTATGCCCACATGCGCATGGTTGTGTGATATGCTCTGTTATGTCCCCAGGGAGCTTATCCATGTAATCCTCACAACAGTCCTATGGCACAGGCACTTTTGTTGTCCCCATTTTATGGGTAAAGAATTGGAGGCTCATAGAAAATAAAAACTTTTTAGGACTCAGGGAGTCCTGTGTGACCACAGATTCATGTGGTTATCTGGCACAAGCTCACCTAACATGGGTCCCACTACTTGGGCCAGGCCGGCCAACCTCTTGGAGCTGAAGCCCCTGTCCCTCTCTTAGCTGTCTCCCACCCTGTCCTCATCCTGATTGGCTTGTGTGGATCCCTGGGCCATTTGCTCATTTGTGAAATAAGATATGATACCTATTAGGCTACATTTGAGATTGTTACAAGCATTAAGATGGGAAAGCATGAGGCCTGGAATAAACAATTGGAATAAATAATTTGATAACTGTTACTTTTCTTTATTCCCAGGTGTTCTGAAGACTTCTGCTGGAAATGTGTGTTCGTGTGTGTGTGTGTGTGTGTATGTGCGCATGTGCGCATGCCTAATAGTTAATTAATTCCTCAGATTCCTTCTAGACCTTTGTGGTGTTGAGAGTTCATCCTGGAACACTCTGCTCAGGAGTGGGGAGGGTCAGAGACTTGGGCATCCAACACCCACTTTCTGCCGCCCTGTGTTCATGGATTTGTCAAGTCAAGACATTGGATATAGTATTTTATTGGCACACAGCAGGACAAGAATCTGTTGGAAGACAGGGTCAGGATATGACCTTGCACCCCAGGGGACTGATTCCCTTAGCCAACACAGGCTTCAGTTATTTCCAGGTTTTGCAGATGAAGTTGTGCGGGGTTCCTTCATGATGGAGGGTGACGTTGGTCTCTGATGGGAGGTGGAGAAGAAGGCAGAGCTGGGGAACAGAAAGGGATAGAGGATGAGGTTTAGGATGGCTCCTTACTCTCACCCTTGAGACAGCCAGACCCCTGCAGAGATACCCAAACTGACTCACAGAAACAGATAGCCCCATACTTTCCCCTCCCCAGATTCTACCTTTTTGAGCAACTCTGGGAAGCTGGAGTTATGGGAGACATTTGCCGGAAAAGATGCCTTCAGCTTCATTTGCAAAGTCACACTTGGCCCTGGGGATCCAAAAGGACACAGAAGTCAGAGCAGTGAACCTTTAAGGAGGCAGGCACCGTCCTGTGATACACTTTCCCTCTTGGGGCAGGGTTTCATTCTGTTTTTTCAGAAGCTCAGCACTGAGATGCCTCCATTTTTTTTTTCCAGAGGCCAAGAAGTCCCCCTCACCTTCTTCTGATTCTCCTTGCCCTGAGGACCCAGGTGTTCACCCTCTAGCACTCACCTGCTCCATATGAGCTGCCAAGAAGGGCCAGGAGGAGGAAGAGAGGCAGCGCAGACCCCATTGTAGCCACCTTACAACTCTATTGTAAGGAAGAGATATCTGAAATCCCAGGTGGCCTCTCCTTACCCTCAGTCCTTAGCACCTGTGTTTGGCAGAAAGGGTGTGGGGGTCTGGGCAACTGGATTTTCCAGTTCTCTCAGTAAGGTTTTGAGGACCCTGGAGAGGGCCATTCACTGGGCTCTTGGGGAAAGTAGAGTGGTCCCCTTGGAGATCCAGTGGTGCAATCTGTTTGTCCGCAGTGCAGCTTGTGTCCCACCCCTTCTCCATGTCTTCAAGCTTGGGAGGCAGGAAGAGGGAAATGGAGAGGGAAGCAGGGAACTAGGGAGGTGTCCTGCCTGCAGGTGTCTGGATCCCACCCAGGTCCAGCCTCTCATTAGGGATTAATTATTAACTACTGTTAATTGTCATCATCCCTGCCACCAAAGGGCTCAGGAATGTGGGCCCCAAAGGGAGGGGTGGATTAAGCCTGGCTTCTTCCTAAGCCCAGGTGTCCTGCTTTCTAGGTGAGGATAATAGGGTAATGGGTAAACTTATCTGAATGTTTTGAGTTAGTTGCTCTAATGCATCCTAGATACTCAGGTGGAGACACATTTCATCCACTATCCTCCCCCATTTCTGGGGGATACTACATACTCCAACCAAGACCCGGGTGCACAGGCACGCAGGCAGAAGGGCAAGCACAGAGGGAGCTGGGGGCCTATCTAGTTTACTGCCCTTCTTTAAAAACTAGGAAACTAACTGCCCAGAGAGGGTTAATGACTTGCTAAAGTCACTAGCAGGTCAGTAGCAGAGGGATTAGTCCCTCATGATGCTAGACACACAGGAACATGCTCAACAGACCGACACTCAAGTGACATCTAAACCCACTTGATCACAAGGGGCACAGGTTCTGCATCTTCCTGTCTCTTCCCTGTGTCACCCTTTGCTCCTCCAAAAACAGTGGGACTGAGTGCTGAGGGGTAGAGGCAGAGGGACCACTGGGAAGAGTCAGGGAGAGAAGCCAAAAGCAAAGCAAGACCAGGGAGTTGGAGAGAGGGAGGGAAGGTGGGGGGGGGGGGCGGGGGAGAGAGAGAGAGAGAGAGACACTGCACCCTAAACCTGCAGTGAGACCTTCAGGGACTCAGATGCTTCCTTGAGGAAGCAGGAAGACCCAGTGGGAAGGAAAATGGGCAAAAAAGAGCAGCAGACATAGGAGGGGAAGAAGGGTGGACACAGAGAGATACACCAGGGTGTCTGGACCTTCCTGAGAGAGAAGCACCCTGTTTCTTTCCCAGCCGGTGTTCCCCTCTTTCTACATAACCATAGCCAAAATGACTGTGTGCTAGGCTTATTACAAACACTATTTCCTTTAACAGTTATAATGACCCTTTGATTTATTTTGTGGTGCTGGGAAAGGGTCGTGTGCTTGCTAGACAAGTGGTCTACCACTGAGCTATATCCTCAACTCTATAATGACCCTTTGTAGTGAGTCCCAGATCACCCCTGTTTATAGGTGGAGAATCTAAGACATAGATAGGACGCCCGAGGATCCACAGCTCAGCAGTGGTAGATGCCTGCATCGCAGACTCAGCCCCAAAGCTGAACTTCTGGAATTCAGGGATATGTACTTTGTGCCTGAACTTGACAAGTGCCTTCCCTGGTGTACCTCTTCTTCCTTTGCCCCTTCTCTGCCAAGGGGACAGGAAACTTTGCATGGTGCAGCTGACTAGGTGAGAGATTGAAACAGACTCAAAATCTCTCCATATTGTTTTAATTTTTAAACTTCTTTACACTGAGAATATAAACTACCCTGTGCCCCACCGACTTACTCTTAGGTCAAACTGTCTAGCTAATCTACATATGTCTATTTCCTGCTGCTTTTTCTACTTTGCTGCCTCTTCTTATAAAAGCTTTCCTGGCTCTTAAATTTTCTGAAGATGGTGATTTGAAACATAAAAGTTTCCTCTATCTTCCTTCAAAGCTGGCTTTGAATAAAACTATTTTCTTGCCAGTTTGACTCCAAGTATTTGTGGAGCATGATGAGTGGTAAACCTACCTGGTCCCACCCCCACCCAGAGCAGTAACAAGATAGCTCAGGTATCCAGTCTCCCACTCCATCCTGGGGTCTCCTGAAGGTCAGGTGCACAGTCCCCGGGCCTGACCATCTTTCCTTGCAGCATCAACTCCCAAGTCCTGCTTTCCTGAGGGACCCCTATGTTCTGACCATCAGTAGTTGTATTTTTAGGAGTGAGAAGAGAACCTTAGGATAGTATAATTGGGACTGCCTGTTTTGAGGAGGGCTGAGCTGAGGACCAACTTTGGCCGAGGGAGGGGGGAGGTTGCTAGTACATGAAGAGCTCATCCATTTAGAGAACTTAGGCTCACTGGTGGCTCAGAGTGGGGATTCTTGTGCTCTAAGTGGAGCGCAGCAGTTTTCCAGGGCTTCTTGTGGCTCTACAAAAACCCCTCTTCCTCAGCAACTTTGTGAAACTCTGTTTAAAAATAAAAAATAAAAGGACTAGCGGGGCTGGGGTTGCACGTGTGAGGCACTGGGTTCGATCCTCAGCACCACATAAAAATAAATAAGGGTATTGTATCCATCTATAACTTAAAAATATTTAAAAAAATTAAAAGGACTAGGGATGAAACTCAGTGGTAAAGAACCTCTGGGTTCAATCCCTAGTACAAAAAAAAAAAAAAAAAAAAGCAAGCAAACAAACAAAAAGCCCCCCAAACTCAAAAAAATAAAAATAAAAAAACCAACATAGACCCATCTTTCTGTTTTTCCATTCATCAATTTTCTGTTTTTCCATTCATCAACTTTTCAGTTTTTCCATTCATCAACTTTCTGTTATGTTGGTGAATGTTGTACTTGCCTAAGTTGCCTGTCCCCCACCATCCCCTGTCATGAAAACATTGACCTATGCATTTTTCCAGAAACTTTGCAATTTTTTAAAAGATAATTTTTTAGTTGTCAAAGGACCTTTATTTTATTTATTGATATGTGATGCTGAGAATCAACTCAGTGCCTCACACATGCCAGGCAAGTGCTCTGCCACTAAGCCTCAGTCCGAAATTTTATCATTTTAATCTCAAATTTAAGCCTACCATCCATTTCAATTAGTTGCTGTGTATGGAGTGAAGTAGAGAACAAGCAAGATTCATGAATTTTCCCTTCTGGTTATCCAGGCACCCAGAACCATTTATTTCAGACTCTCCCCTCTCCTCTCCTCAGGTTGTGAGAGTACTTCAATTAAGTCAAGTGACCAGATCTGTATGCTTCTATTTCTGGGCTCTGTGCTGGCCTCTATCTGGCCATTCTTACCCCAGTGCCACAGTGCTTAGTGACTGCTTTGTGGCAAATCCTGAGATCTGAGAATGTAGGCCCTCCACTTCTGTTTTTATTTAAAATCATCTTGGCTATTTTCAGTCCTTTGATTTTTATAGAATCAGTTCAATTTCTTTTCTTTTTTCTCTTTTTGGTACTAAGGATGGAATCCAAGGGCACTTAACCAATTCTTTTTATTTTTTATTTTGAGACAGCGTCTTTTTAAATTCTTGGGCCTCCTGAGTTGCTGGGATTATAGGCATGTGCCATCATGCCCAGCTAAAATCAGTTCAATTACTACCCAAAGCTCACTAGGATCTTGAGAGAGAATGCACTAGAGATGATTTCTGCTTTGCTCTAGTTTGGATCTCTTCTAATCATTTATTTCCCTCTGCCCACCTAGGATCTGTCTCCTCCCTACAGACCGTGGAACTGCCCCAATCATGCCAGGGACTTCTGCGTCAAGTGTGGTCATCTCGGAAGCTTACACTTCCACAGTGGCTGGAGTGGCCACCCCGTCTGCAGCTCTCAGCGACCGGACCAGTGAGGCACTCTCACATCTGCTTGGTGCTTAATAACAGGGATAAGTCTGAGAAATGGGTCCTCAGGCAATCTTATCATTGTGTAAGCGTTATAGAGTGTACTTATGCAAGCCTAGATAGTATGGGTCAATCACTTAAGGTGGCCTCTTGGTGCAATCAAGAAATGTGTTAGGATTGGGGATGTAGCTCGTGGTTCAAAAAAAAGCAGTAAACTGGAGATGTACATGTCTGTTGCCAGCAAAACAAAGCAGACCGTTTTACAATAAAGTAGAAGTACATGCTAAAATGATGATAAAAATAAAGTAAATGCATAAACCAATAGTACAGTTGTTGTTTTTTTTTTTTTTTTTTTTTTTTTTTTTTTTAAGAGAGAGTGGGGGGAGAGAGAGAGAGAGAGAGAGAGAGAGAATTTTTTAATATTTATTTTTTAGTTCTCGGCTGACACAACATCTTTGTTTGTACGTGGTGCTGAGGATCGAACCCGGGCCGCACGCATGCCAGGCGAGCGCGCTACCGCTTGAGCCACATCCCCAGCCCTACAGTTGTTGTTAATCATTATCAAGTCTTATGCATTAACCATAATTGCATGTGCTGTACTGTTTTTTTTTTTTTTTGAGGCTGGCTTTGAACTTCTAGACTCAAGTGGTCCTCTTGCCTCAACCTCTTTAACAGCTGGAATTATAGGTGTGTGCCACAGTGCCTGACTCCTGCTATGCTTTTATAAGTGGTGGTGTGACAGTAGTTTATGCCATCATCACTACACACACACGTCAAATACATTGTGCTACCTTACAATGCTTACAACACTAGGTGGTAGGAATTTTTCATCTCCATCATAATCTTATGAGATCACCTTCATATATGTGGTTTGTCATTAACCAAAATGTCATAATGTGCCCGTATTAGGTGATTGTTTCTTCCAGTAAAATGTTAGTCAGGTCCATTCTCTTCCCCACTCTCCCCATTTTTATTTTATTTATTTATTTATTTATTTTTTTAATTGGTTGTTCAAAACATTACAAAAGAAAAACCCATTTTTAAAAATTGGTTCATTATAGTTGTACATAATCATCAGGCCCATTCTCTCTTATTCCCCTGCAGCCACCCCTGGATTCTGGAGAGGAATATGGTATAAGAAATAGAAAGTCCTCGATCCATTTTCAGAATACAGTATCTTAATTGGATCCAGTTGTAGCCATTTCAATTATAGCCTTTCCCTTTGCCCAATCCAATTTTAAAATTAACCAATTGCTAATTGA